AGCCGGGAACTAGGGAAGGAGCCAGGGAATAGATGTCCTGATGATGCTTCTCCGCTCTCACCTCTCACGGCCTCCCCATTGGCCGAAGCAGGTGCAAGTCAGAGGACAAGGGGACCTGGGAGATGTAGTCCGTGGAGGTTAGCATCCTGGAGGTCTTGAGCAGGTGGAAGGAGAATGGGAGAAAGGAAGCAAAGGAACACACAGCACAGTCTGTCCAGCTGGAAGGGTCGGCCCAGGACAGCACACTCCTTTTGTGTTGTTCCTCTGGGCTTGGTTGTCCACTGCCCATGATTAAGACAGCAGCTGTGGCTTCCGGGCAGTTTACTTTCCCATCGGCTTTTCCTCCCCAGGAGGGGCTCAAGTGCAAAGAGCCTTAGCTTGCTCTGACTCACCCTGGGTGTCAGTTCTGGTCCTGTATCTTGGCAACCGTGTGGCCATGGATAAGCCATTTCTTTTAGGGTCTCAGTCTTTCCAGCCGCAGTGTGGGAATACCCATTCCTGCCCTGTCCACCGGGAGGCCAATGACAATGAAACCCTAAAGCAGAGTTGCTGTGGCATTTACCAATGATGACTGGGCAAAGCACTGGGTAAATGCTCTGACTCACCCACGTTGTCTAGTTAAGTAGCACCTTGTGCTGGCAAAGAAAGCCAGGCATAAAGAGGTAAATTGCTCGGCCAGGGTGGCAGAGCTTATAAGCAGCAAAGTTGAAACCCATGCCCAGACCTTGTGGCTCCAGAGGACCCCCATTCCCTAACCGCTGTGTTATGCTAATGGCTTATTTATAAAGCATTCAACAAGGAGTAGGTGCTTAATAATGGTAATGGTTGACCGTGTTGGGTGTAGGAGCCTGCCAGCTTGGTCCCTGAGGCATCATTCCAGCCACTGGAACCTGGACCTGACCCTGGGTCAGCCTCTTGGATCCTAGCCTGTAGGTGTCCAAGACATCCTAGAACCACTGCTGTTGTACTTCCCGTTGAACTGGGAGTCTGCCCTCGTTTTTCCCACCTGCCTGGCAGCTGCAATGCAATACTGAGCTGCCAAGGGACATTTTCTTTTGTTTCTGCTTTGTTGGTGGATTTTGTGTATCATTATGTTGGTGCCTGAGGACCTGCCATGTTCTTCCTTGAGATTCTCGCGTCCTCATTTCTGAAGTTCCTAACGGATCCTGGCTCTTGGACTGCTTCTGCTGTCAGGGCAGGCGGCCTAAGCTACGTTCTGCTTCCTCTGGTCTTGTTTCCATTATGTGTGTGTGTGTGTTTAAATATACACCGTGATGTGTGAGTCTTTGGGAATCAGGAATAAATCAGGAAGCTGTTTAAGTTTTTGTTATCAGTGTGTTTATGGCAGAGTGAGTGTGATAAGAACATGAGAAACAGCTTTATTCAAAAATATTTAAAATTTTAGTGCTGTAGTTCCAAATCCAAGGCTGTTGTCTGTGGAGAAGTCTGAATTTCCTGGCTCACCATCTTGTATTAAGGACCACCTATAATAACATTTCCCCAGCTAAATCTGTTTAGGAGGTAAATATTTAACTGCCTGCTAATTCATTTTTGTGGAGCCTGAGACGGCCACAGGTGCCTTTGGAAAATAAGCCCCCCACGACCAAGGAGGGCCGGGCTCATGATGCGCTGGGAATACGGTGGGGAGAGACAGCTGAAATTTATTTTGTGAATAAAGCAATAAGCCACTAAGCAAAGCTAATATGTTTCAGCCAAGACAGAGAGACACCATCATTCAGTATTTATGTAGCAGCCTGTTCCTCAGTGGGACTGCAAGTTTCTAGCATTAAAATTGTCGGAATTCTTCAGAGACCTACTGCATTAAGTCATTTAAAAATATCACAGACTTAAAACAATCTGAATTATTGGATTTTCTTGCTGCTCCTCGGTAAGCATGTTTGCTGTGGTAATTTCCCGCTCGGTCAAAGGTGCCGTCTGCCTCCATCAGGAAGGTAGGAAAGCTCTGTGCAGAATATTTATTTGGAACCCAAACAAAATCTGACCTTGATTTAGTGGATTTTATTTGTCTTTTAATCTTGGCCTAAGTTCTGATCGCCAGACCGGCTGCAAGGGAAACACAAAGACTTTGTATACCCCTCAGCCGGAGTCCCCCAGTGTTAACAGTTCGCTACATTTGCTTATCATTCTCTCTGCATAAAGATAAATAAATAAATACATATTACTTTCATCTACATCGTTTGAGAGTCAGTTGCAGACATGCTGTCTGCCAGTCAGTCTCTAAATATTTCTGTGGGTTCTCTGAAAACAAGGATATTTTGTTACATAGCCACAATGTCGTGATCAAAATCAGGAAATTACCATTGATACAATACTGTTACTTAATGGGTTTTTTTTTTTGTTGTTGTTGTTGTTGTTGTTGTTACCTAATGTATTGACTTAATTCTAAGTTTGCCGGTGGCTCCAATTAATACACTTTGTAGTCAGACATCATCCCGATCCTAAGTCCCTGGCCAAGTCTCTTTAGCTTCCTTTAAAGTGGAATAGCTCCTGAGTCTTCCTGCACTTCATGCAACACTGACACTTTAGAAAGAGAACAGGCTGTGTATTCTGCAGGCTGGCCCCTCTGTTTGGGGTTGTCTGGAATTTTTCACAGATGAGGCTGCGTGCTTTGGTTAGGACGACTGCGTAAATGGCTTGTACTTCTCGGTACATTACATCAGGCAGGGTACACTGTAGTGTGCAAAGTCAGACATAACCTTAGAATTATCTTTTGTCCAAACCTGGCTTGGAAGGGTTTCTCACTCAAGCCAGATTTTTTTTTCCCCTTCAGTCGGCACTTCCTGTCAGTGATTGCATCACAGCAAAAGACTTTTTAAAATTATTATAACAGACCTTTTATAAACAGAGACCAACTTTATAGCTATGCAGGAGAAAATGTATCGATTAAAAAAATTGTAGTGAGATAGTTATGAAATTTCCTTAAGTTCATTTTGCAGAGTGAGAGCTGTAATTTACATGTGATGTTGTCCAGAGCTGAGATAAACCACACCTCTCATGCAATTTAATCTGGCAGGGAACCAGGCCCCTCAGAATGGCTAACCAGGCCTAATTCATTACGTCTTGGTGAACACTGTACTTTTGATCTTTTGAGTTGCTCGGCTGCTGCATTAATAGATTACCCAGACCTCATGGAAAATGTATGGGGATGTTAACAGAAATACTGTATCCTTGTTTAAATCACATTAAATTTTTTAAACAGCTTGAATGATTGCTCAGAAAGATCACACCTTCTTCCGAAGCATTTATGGAACGATTATTTACATTACATTAAAAACTTTAATTGCCTTGGAGCACGTGCTCTGAGACACAAATATTGGAAAATCATCAAAAATATTCATCATGGTTCTCTCTCCTTTACAACTCTTCTAAACTTTATCTTTTTTATAACCCACTGTATTGATCTATTGTCCCAGACCAAGAGTGATGTCAGAAGTCCAAGCTGGGTTATAAAAAGCGAATATAATTTCCATTTGCTCTGTGTAAAAGCAAATCTTTTAGTCTGAGAAGTAGGTGGGAAATACCCCTTTTCTTATTGTACGGGGAAGAGAGTGGGTTGGTGTGTGGCAAGGGTCATGCAAGGCTGGGAAGATGCCCTCAAGAATGGTGGGAAGGCCGGATGGATGACAGATTGGGAGAGGGGCTGGGAGAAATCTGCCCCTCCCTGTTCAGATCTGAGGAATTTCAAAAGACCAGAAGCTCCCTCTGACCAGGCTAAAGACCCGTTCCCACAAGACAGTCCCAATAAAGGAAGCGTACACGGGAAAGTCAGGGCGGCGGTGACAGTAGTGCAAACCTCCACAGCGCTTGAACTGGACCACTCCCTGCAGCCCCCCACCCCACCACACCCCACCCCACCCCGGTTTCTCCACAGATCATAAAAATAACACCAGCTCTGCTGGAAAGGGCCAGTGCAGGGGTCTATCTAAGAATCCACTCCCAAAATAACCATAACAGTAAAAGGGCCTTGCATGGCTAAGTTGTGGGGAGACCCTGAAATCGATTTAAAATTACTCTCAATGTTGACAATAAGGAGTTCCCCTTGCAAAGGACTTAAACGTTGCGTCCAGGCCGGTAAGGCTGAATTACAGCTAAGACGAGTGCTCGCTGCTATCCCCCGCCCCCCGCCCAATAACAGCATTTAACGGCGTGAAACCCGCGCGACGTGACATGTTGCACTACTCAGTGGCGCCCCCAGGCGGCTCCCACCCGCCCGCTGCCAGGAGCCTCTGAGCAGCCCCAAGTGCGGGTTGTGACCCCCAATCCCAAGCATCGTGGGCGGAGGAGCGGCGGAAACCGAAGGCACGTGTTGTGTGTATGCCTATTGCAAAAGGGAAAAAAATGCATCGCAAACTATTAACTTTTCTTTTTAAGTATGCAATGTTGAGAGCAGGTATTAGGCAGGTGCAGGGGGAGGGGTGGGGCTGGCGCCCCGCATGTCCGCCTCTTGCAGCGCCCCCCAAACTTCCCTTTGCATTGATCAGCACGTTACGTCAGTATTGATAAGTTTGCAAAAAAGCCAAAGTCAAGTGCAATCGCGCGGCACACCGACCCCAGACTTGGGGGGTGGGGGGAGATGCGGCGAGTGTTCCGCGGGCCCAGGAGCCGGCTGCAGGCAGGGCAGCGGCGGCGCCGGCGCCTCTCGGAGAACCTGCCTCCCCCCCACCCCCCTCCCACCTCATCCCCGGCCGCCTCCCCCGGGCGGGCGCCGAGCTCCCAGCCCGGCGCGCTCCGCCCGCGCCCTCCGGGGGTCGGGGGGACGCACGGCTCCCGGGCCCGGCGGCGGCTGCGGCGGCGCGGCGGCGCCGAGGGGCAGCCGGTGGCGGGAGGCTGGGGGCATCCGAGGGGCCCCGGGCGGCTGCGCGCAGGGCCCGGGCGGCCAGAGGCGGCCCCGGGGCTGGGGGGAGTCCAGCCCGGATATTGAGTGCAGCCATTGAGAAAAGCCAAACTCTTGTGTGTGTGCGTCTCGAATAGCCCCCAAGATGGCCGCCAATGTGGGATCGATGTTTCAATATTGGAAGCGATTTGATCTACGGCGACTCCAGGTTAGTGCGGGCAGCGCCGGCCCCGCGACCGTGGGGAGCCCCCGGGCGCGCCCTAGGCGCATTGGGGAGGTCCCGGGGCAGGCGGGCGGGCATCCCGGGGCGGCGGGCGGCGGCTACCGGGGCTCACTGGGGCTCGGCTGCCCGCTGCCCATCGATAGGTATTAGGAATTGATCTCGCCGCTGCTCTTTGTTCGGTTCAATCATCGATTAGCCGACGCGACCATGGAGAAGCGCTAGTGAGCCCGTGGCCGGGGCAGCAAGCCGGCGGGCGAGGCGCGGGGAAGGAAGGCACAGCGGCCCCGAGCCAGGGGTGCGGGCAGGACCCCCGGGGCCCCCCTCGTGCCACACTTTGCGCGCCTCCCAACTTCGCGGCGCCGGGGGAGGCCGCGGAGCGCGCCGCGTGCCTGTCCGCGCCCGGCTGGGGCTCGGGCAAGGGAGGGAGGGAGGGAACTGGCGGGCAGGGAGGAGGAGGCGAGAGGAGGAGGCAGCCGGGGTTGGCGAAGAGGCAGCTCCGCGCCCGGCCGCTCGCCGGCACCTCTGCCGCCGCTCGCCTGGCTGTGTAACCCGGACACGCCACCACCCGGGGGCCACCGCTGTCACCGAGCCTCCGCCGCCGGACTGGCCACCTGCGCCGGGAGACCTTGCCTTCTCGGGCAGGGGTCTTGGGGTTCGTCTTTGCTTCTTGTCTTTCCCCTTTCCCACCCCTTCCCTAGCCTGGATGCAGGCGAGTGGCGGTGCCGGCCGGGCGCGCGCAAGTTTGCGCTTCTGCCTCCGGGGCCGTGAGGAGCCGGGAGCAACGCGAAGCAGGTGACTCGCGGCTCTGGGCCCAGGGGAACTTTTAAATGGGAGATTGCCTTGCTCCGTTCTGCTCCAGCGTTCCCTCCCTGCCACCCCCTGCTTCTCACCTCTCTCCCATCTTCCCTCGAAAAGCCTCTTCCTCTCCTTCGCGACGGCGACTCTCTCCCAGACCCCTGGCCCTTTCTCTCCACTGGGTCTTTCTGGGAGTCTCTGTCCCCCGCCCGGATTTTGGGTGTTATGTGCCGACTCCTTAGGCGCCAGGGGCAGGAATCTCAGGGTTATGGTGCACAGCTCAGCCTCTGATCTTTCCTGGGTGCCCATGAAGCCCCTCGACAAGACCCTAAGCCCTGGCGCCTGGCAAAGTGGCTGCCCGTGTGGCAGGAATAGGGGCGGAGAAATGATGCGGATAACGGGTTGATTAGAACATCCTGCCTGGGCCGCTCACCCTCTGGGTAGAGAGGGCATCAGTCCAGGGTTAAGGAGACCCACTTAAAAATATATATTAAAACCTGACAGCAGATCTCGTTAAGTTTGTTCTGATAAGTGGTGCCGCTGGCACCTGCCTCCTTTGGCGGCTTCCCAGTACCCCTCCTTCTTAGCTCCCTACTCTTTCTCCCCTCCTCCCCCCAAAGCCACTGAGCTGGAGAGAAAATCGGGGCACTCAGGCATGCTGTTAATAACTGCCAGTGCCCTGCAATTCCAGGTCCTCACTCGAGTTGGGGCTACAGTTTGGTGGCCGGCTGTGGCAGGCAGGCTGTGAGCTGTGCTTGCTGATTTAAATGGTGCTCAAGTGGCCTCTCTCTAAGAGTGGGGGTTGTGTGTGTGTGTGTGTGTGTGGAGGGGGGGGAGTTGGGCAGCCACATTGGGCTTGGCACGAAGGCCAATGGTAATCGTATTCCCTGCTAATGTTTGTAAATGAGACCGGAGCACGGCTGGGGGACAGCGTCTTTATTTATGATTGATGTTCTGTAACATAAGGAATGACAAGAACGTGGCAGACAAGAGGAGAGGAACCAGAAGGGCCAGTGAGGGCCCTGTGCACGGTCCTATTGTTATTCTGGGCTGGAGGAAATTTCCGCGGCGAGATTTACAGCACTGGTATTTGCTCCCAGTCGGCGGGAGAATGTCCGTTAACACAATTTTCATTAGATAACTCGTTTTCCATCCAGGCAGCTCCGGCTGCTGTAAGGAGCTGTTGGGCTGGGTGTAGTGTCCCGGGGGGGCTGATTTCTGACTGGGGGGCCATGGACCCTCACTCTCTTCATTCTCCTGCTCAGGGTCTTTTGTGGAGCTGCTGAGGTCACCCAAATCCTGATTCCAGCTGGACTCCCGTGGAGCCAGGAACCCTTTGTTAGGGCCTTCCATGATGCTGAGATGGAAAAGCAGATTGAGTCCAGAGAGGCTGAAGGTGGGGGTGGTGGAGTGGCTGGTCCAGGTGACCAGGATCTGGGGCCAAGGCCTCTCCCCCTGCAGGGGGCTGAGGTGGGGCTCGATCATGAAGACAATGGCAGTATGTCTGGCACAGAACTAGAAAGCTCTCAGGGAAGGGGGTGAGCTCATTTACATCGATATTAAGTGGAAGGGGTGTCCCCGAGGGAGTTTGAAAGGCTGCACACTTGCAGAGAGCAGAGACGTAAACGTGGCAGAGGCAGCATATAGATGTTCAGGTCCACATAGCTGCCGTGGTCCCCAGCCCCGGCCTGACGTCGTCCCTTGCCCCCTGCCCGTGGGCACTCACCTCTTCCCACCTCCTCATTTGCACCCGTGGCGGTTTTTGTTGGAAATGGATTGTGCCCTGGGATTTTCTCTGACCCATGATGCTAATGACTGTGCCGTACTTTCATTTTCTCTCACCGCTTCCCTCTTTGGGGGAAATAAGCAGAAAGGAAAACTTGTGAGATACAGGTGGGAGAGGCAGGAGCCCACCCCCAGGGCTTGAGCTGGTGCTGTGGCAGCTTTGGCCCACTGGCCCCCTGGAGCAACTGAACTGCCTGTGCCTGAGTGTGCTGCTTCTGTTCTGGGCTGTTCAGGTTGAGTGTTTTTTCGCAGCTTGGTTGCTGAGTATTCAAGTGGCTGGGGCAGCAAAGACAACCCCCTGTCCCCAGACCATACCATTCCATTGCGGCCACTCCAATCCTGGATAGAAAGGTGACCTTGTGCCAGCCGGCTGGGGCCCTCAGGAGTCTGTGGTCCCCCCAACGCACACACACAGAAGCAGTCCCTCTCATTGCCCCAGCTCGAGCTCCAAGCACAGCAGGAGCTGTCTCCTCACAGATGCCAGTGAGTCTGCAGCCTTCAGGACTGGGGTTGACAATGGAGGGACGGCCCAGGGTCTTCCACTCTAGCCCCATGGCCATGGCTTCTTCCTCCTTTCCTTTCTTCCTCTGCTGCTGGAAGCTCAGGAAACAAAATCAAATTCCATCCGAAGATAATGCTGGGCATATTTCACTTGGTTATAAGATTGCTTTATGGCGAACATTACTAATGCAGTATTTTTTTATGGCTTTTCAGTGTATAATCGTCGTAGCCGGATTCATACCTTTATGATTTTCTTTTTCTCCGGTACCTTGCCACTGTGTTTTTAAACGATGCTGTGGGTCCAATCTCCCAGGCTTTTTTCTCCCTCACCATGAGGAAGGTTAATTAAGCTAACGAGAGTTCAGAGCACCTGGTCCGAAGGAGGGCGCTCGGCCCAAACGCACAGCTGTGTTTGGGTGGGATGTAGAGAGGCTGGCTGACAGGGTGTCCATCCCGGAGGAAGAGGCAAAACCTGCCAGAGCCGGAGCTGGAGGCATCAGCTTTAGGGTTGGGGATCTGACGGGCGAGCAGGAGCAGCTGGGCTCTTCCAGGGAGTGTCTAGAAACTTCCATCAAGCTCAGTCTCTTGGCATAGGCGATTGAGGTGGAGCTTGATGGAATGTTTTTACCTACTCAAAGTTTAGAAAAGAGCGTGGATGTGATTAAAATATTATAACCTTATGATATTCTGAAGTGCATAAATTTTACATATCAGCCACAGAGAGTTTAGACATCCATTAGAGCCTCTGACAGCTTGACTTACCTAAATGTGCTATCATTTAACAATGTGTCAAAATTCCTCTTTCTATGGATGACAGCAGTAAATAACTATCAGCCTTGTTGGCGGATTCCTAACTTCGGAAACTTTGCTGTGATAGAGTCGCTGCGGGAATGGGTACCATGAGTGGCTGAGGCGTGGAGATAGCCTGTGAGATGGGTGCTCTGTGGGAGGGTCACAGAGGAGCTCGGGGAAGGGAGAGGGTGGGGTGGAGAAGACTTCTCGTAGCTTCTTCGTAGAATAAGACCAAGTAGTTGTCTCCACCTTTGTCTGGCAGTCCAGCCAGCAGGTGACCCCATTCCGTGTGCATCCCACTCTCTTAGAAACACACCCCCAGGGCCTTCTCGGCGGCAGGAGCTGGGAACAGGTGCGCAGCGTTCATGTGAAGGGTGCAGCACTCTTTCGGGGCAGATCCGCCGTTCTCACTCCCCCCACCCCCATTCTTCCTGTGGATGGGCACCACCCCCACCCTCACCCCATGGCTGGAAGGAAAGTGGGCAGTGCCTTATTCTTCACCGGTTTTGCTGCTGGCAATCTTGAAATTTCTCTTATTAGAACCTGAATTCTCCGTAGAGAATCGAGATGCCATGGACAAGCCTAAGGAAGTGAACTGGCATCTCGGCGGGTTGTTTCAGATGAGTGCAGTGCTATTTTGACTCCAGGGAACAGCTTTTCTGATGCTGCTGCTGACTTTTTTTTTTCCCCCTCTCCCCCTCTTTTCTTTCTTTTTCTTATTTTAAAAAACCCTCCTGTTAAAAAGAGAATTCTATCTTCAAACTTGACATTCCTTCGCGGTAACCTTTCTCACGGCAGATGGATTTCAAACGTGAGCACCTTCACTGCTGCTAAATTTGGTCCCGACTGATGGTGGACGGGGCTGCCCAGGCCCTGTGGTTTGTTGTGCTGCTTTTGGAAAGAGCTGCATTTCCAGCAGCTTTCTGGGTATCTGATTCCAAGGCCAGCCTGGCAGAGGTCCCAGGAGATTCCTCCTTTGACTCCTGACTTAAGAGTGGGGGTCTGGGCCCGGTGTGATAGCCTAGCAGCTCAAGGCCTCTCCTTGCACGTGCCGGGATCTCATATGAATGCCAGTTCTAATCCTGGCAGCCTCACTTCCCATCCAGCTCCCT